ACCAGAATGGGCATCACAATGGATCTTATTGTCTTCATAGTTGTTGCCTAGACTTTCAAACTTGGTTCTATCTAGCATAACAGAATAGAGGAAAATTGGTCAAAACAAGATGGTGAGATCAATACAGAATTTCAAATCAAGTTAATAGGAAATCAAAGTATCCTGCTATTTTTTATTTATTTTTCCCTTAATTAAAAGGATAAAAATGAAAAAGTAGATAATAAAAAGGAGATTGAGATAAAAAAGAGGGCATAACAATAAAAACAGTGCAGGTCAAAACATAGCTATTTAAGCAAAATAGTGTTTCACCACAAGATAATCTCGACATAATAGTTACCATAGTTACCATAGTTAGTTAATTACCATAGTGGTTTACCATAGTGTCTCTTCCCTTAAAATCTTTGGGTATAACTTTGTATACTGTAGCATCAAACATATCAAGACAATGTAAAACCAGTCAAGAGAATGACAGTATTACAGGGTATTTAGAATCAACTAACAGAAAATGAACAATGGTTTCTGTATAATCTCCTTATCTATAAAAGGTTTTGTTTATATTATCATACATAATAAAATCCAATAAGATACAACACATTAAAACTGATGGAGACAGAAGAACAAAAGCTTGATGGGACTTCAAAACAAGAGGATATTAAATCAGCACTACCTATTATGATGTCTTGTTTTCTCCAAAATGGCTGTTCCTACCATTCAACCTTCTCTGCCTCATTTCTGTTGAGCTTTTTTTCTGTCACTAGTTGTCAGTTTGTCCTCTTCATTTCGCTTTCTGCTCCATTCATTGTGGCTGTTCTGCCACTGTTTCTGGAATCTTGGTATTTTTCATTTTTAGAATATCCTGCAGTAATCTCCGTAGAGTTGAATTGGTGGTTGCAAATTCCCCTAGTTCCTCTTTATCCTGGAAGCACCTTGTTTTTCCATCAATTTCTAGGGACAGTTGTGCAGGATATATCAATCTTGGCTGGAGGTTATTATCTTTCAAAGCTTGAATTATTTCACCCCACGCTCTTCGTGATTTGATGGTTTGTGCCGAGAAGTCTGCTGTAATTCTGATGGGTGTTCCCTTGTAAGTGATCTGTTTCTTGTCTCTGACGGCTTTTAATATTCTGTTCTTATATTGGATTTCTGGAAGTTTGATTATTATATGCCTGGGTGTAGCTCTGTTTGGGTTGTAGGTGGCTGGGGTCCTATATGCCTCATACATCTGAGTATCTTTACTTTTTGCTAAATTAGGGAAATTCTCCTGGATTACTTCTGTGAATAGCTTTTGTAGTTAATTTGTTTGAGTCCCTACTTCTTCTTTTATGTTCTTAATTCTTAAGTTACAGATCCTCTTATCATCTTCTAGTCTTTGTATTATTGCTGTTTGTTTTCTTGTTATTTTTAAGAAGTTTTTCATTTCATGCTCCCACCTTACAAATCTGTCCTCCAGTTCTGATAATCTGTCCTTAGTTTCTTTCAAGCTATTATGCCAGCTTTCAGTAGAGTTTTTAGTTTCCTGGTAATCTCTGTGAACCTGCTTCACGTATTCTATGTTTTCTCTATTTTCTCCATCAAACAATTCTCCCCTTTTTTTTCTGTTCTTCCATTCCACCATCTGTTTTTTCTTGGGCGGTGCTTAGCATTTCTCTAACTATTCTACTTATTTCTTGCTTTATTTCATTAAATACTTCATTTTTTAACTCGTCTATGAGGCTCTGGAGGTACTGTTTTATATCTATAGGTGCCGTGTCTGACATTGCATGTTTTCTGTCTTCATTCTCTTTTGCTTTTACCTTTCCTGGATCAGTGCTCTCAGGATTGGGGCCTGAGGACCCTTTCTTGTTGCTCCCTTTTCCCATACTTTTTGTTCCTTCCATAGAAGCGTATGTAGGAGGCCTAGTTTTTTTTCTCTTTATCTGTTGCAGTTTGTTTGAATCCGCCCGCTAGGTGTTCCGGCCCACTGCAGTGTACTAGGGAGACACAGACCTGGGTAGCCTCTGCTGGGCCCGCCCCTCCAGGTCAACCTACTGAATGTTTCACTGCTAGGGGGCACTGCCAGGCACAGGGACCTGATTTGGGCTAGCCTACAGGATCTTAGTCTGCGGGGTCATCAGGCCAAGTGCTTGAGAGGGGAATATGCGACTAAAGTAGTCTGCCCGTTCCCAGAATGTCCTCTCTTGGAGCCTCCTAGTCTATGAAAGGGTCCCCATTTCTCTCACTCACTGCAGGTTGATGCAGGGCTCCCTGCCAGTCCCACTCTCAATGCTGTTCGGTCCAATTCCTGCTTTCAGAGCTTTTGCGTGCCTCTCTCCCTGCCGTGAGGATTGGGAAGCAGTATCAGCAGCAGGAAATTCAAATCGCGGCTTCCAATGGCGTGGGATCCAGCTTCCGCACTGAGATTTTATCTGTTCCTGTTACAGCATCAGGATTGCATTTCCAGTTAGTTTCTCTCAGCTTACTTTGTTCCTGGGTCGGCAGGGTACATCTCCCCTCGTGTAGGACTCCTCACACTTGGCACCGCTCCTGGATTCTAAGCTGGTAATCTCAGAGAGCCTCCGTGGCTGCTGTTATTTGTCCGCCACATTCTCCCGGAAGTCCCATAGTGAATCTTATTGCCTTCAAAGTAGTTGCCTATACCCTCAAACTTGATACTATCATACAGAACAGAACAGAGTCTAATCAGTCAAAACAAGATAGAGTATTACAGGACTTCAAGTTAATAGGAAATCAAGAAAGTTACTATAATATATCCTGCTAATTTTTTTTTATTTTTCCCCTTAATTAAAAAAATCATAAAAAAAAACTAAGTATTTTTTTTTTAATGAATAAGGGAGACATTGAGATAAAAGAGGACATAACAATGTAACAGTATAGGTCAAAGCATGACTGTTTCAGCAACCTAGTGCTTCACCACCAAATAACCCGACTTAATAGTAGTTACTTTTTCCTTGAAATAGTAGTGTCTTTTTCCTTGAAATATTTGAATATAACTTCATATAATATAGCTTCAAATATATCCATATCAAGCAGCCCAGAATAAAGCCATTCCAATTAATAAGTGAAAACTTTATAAGGCTTCAAGGCCACATAATGGGGAATCATGATTACCACATACTTTTATATGTTTGAATCATTACTTACATTACGGAAACTATTCAGTATTCACACATGTGAGATTGATTTATTTCTTCCTTGTTATTTTTAAGAGATCTTTCCTTTTATGATCACACATTGCAAACATGTCTTCCAGTTTTGATAGTCTATCCTTAGTTTCTTTCAAGCAGTTTTGCCAGCTTTCAGTGGAGTTTTTAATTTCCTGGTAATCTCTTTGAATCTGCTTCATGTGTTCTAGGTTTTCTTTATATTCTTCACTGAACATTTCTCTCCTTTTTTTGTGTTCCTCCACTTTTCTGTCTGTGTCTTCTTGAGAGGTGCTTAGCATTACTTTTATTAATCTACTTATATCTTGCTTTAATTGATTAAATATTTCACCTTTGAGCTCATCTGTGAGGTCCTGGAGATATCTTTTTATGTCCCCTGATGCCATGTCTGATATTGTGTGTTTGCTGCTCTGAATCTCTTTTGTATTTACTCTCCTGGATCAGTGTCCTCAGGGCGGGGGGCTGGGAACTTTTTATTATTTCTTTCTCTTGTCACGTTTTTGGTTTCTTCCATACAGGTGTCCCAGCCTTCCATACAGGAGGTCCCAGCCCCTTTCTTTGTTGGTTATTGTTCTTCTGAAGTGCGCTGGCTAGGGATTTCTGCCCTCTCCAGTTTGCTGTTCGTCATTGAGGTGCAAACAGGGGTGGTGTATGCTGGACCCTCCCCTCCGGGCCTGTCAACCTGCAGGGGCCTTCACTGCGTTAGTGTGTGCCACGCATATGGAGTTGGTTTGGATGACTTATTGGGTCCCCGCTAGGGGTGTGACCCACGCCAAGCAGATTCCACCAATCTGGTCTGGAAAAAGAACAACTGACTGAAGTCACTACTGTTCCTTGTTTCTGCCCATCCTGCCCGATTCCAACATGTTGTCCAGTTGGTCACCCCTTTCCCGTAGGAGGGTCTTGTTTCCAGCACTCGCCGCGGGCCAATGCAGGTCCCTTGCCGGCTCCAGTCTCTGTTGGGCTCACTGACCTCTGACTTCTGCATGACCGCGGCTCCAGCAAGTCGCAGCGGCAGCAGTTTGGGCAACGGGAGTTCAGGCGGCTCTAGCAAGAGCACCGTGGCCGCTAATCTTAGCTGCTCCAAGGATAGCCCCGGGACTGTATGTTTGACTAGTTCTTTTCCCTTTAGTTTTTTCCTGGGAGGAGAGGATCCATCTCCCTCTATCCAGACCTCTCCATGATGTTTTATTCCAGCATCTGAGTTGTTTCTCTCAGGGAGCGTCTATCTTCTGCTGCTTACCAATCTGTCATCTTTAGCTTCTCGCTAAGTAGGTTTTGCATCTGTGTATATGAAGTAGTCATTTCCCGGAGACTAAGGAACAGCCGAGTAGTGAGAGCTAACTCTGTCATCCACAGGTTCTCTGTTGTTAGTGGTATCACCCACTGGCCATAGTTAATTTGGTTATTGATCAGTTATTACTGATTTTCAGTAAATTGCAATAAAGGCAAAAAAATCAAACCCTTAATGAATATTTCCTGTACTCCAAAGACTCAGCTAGACCAAAAATATTCCCTTGGTAGGTACCATTCACAGGAATATTTAAAGAAAATTTAGGCAACATAAAAGAATGCAGAACTAAGAAATCACGGGAAGTGATGTATTCTGCTTTCCAAATAATTAGCCAACAAAGTTAGGCTTTGCTTTCCCTGACTGATATAGTTCAGTGTGTACTAAAACTAAAAATGAGTTGCTGGCCAAGGCTTCTGATTTAGTATTTCTAGTTCCTACTTTTGTTTTGTATTGTTTGGCATCAGGAAATGCATTTGCCTTCACAGTTAAAGAATCAGCAGTGAAATGTAAGTGACAGCCGCTTTCCTCTTTACTGTGCCCTCCAGGAGTTCCCGGCGTCCAAGCAGCACGCTTGGAGGAAGGAATGAAGGTGAAGCACTGCGCCCTGTCCCTTGTGGGGGAGCCAATAATGTACCCTGAGATCAACAGGTTCCTGCAGCTGCTCCACCACTGTAAAATCTCCAGTTTCCTTGTCACCAACGCGCAGTTCCCTGAGGAAATCAGGTGAGTATTCCAGCCTGTTGAGCCAGGTGCTTGGATCGGTGTTAACTACAGAGAAAACTGATGACTCTCATGTACTCCCAGAGGCTGAGTTTCCTTACTGTGTGTGGATGTGGAGCTTCGGGAGGCGGGCGTGGTTTGGTTCCCCTGAACCCACTCTAATGGGAGGGTAAGAAGAAAACAATCACAAAGAATTGCTGGGGAATTCAAAAGGAGATGTAGTCCCCACCTCCTTGGGCAAACAGCACAAAAGGTTCCAGAGAAACTGTCATTTAATTTGGATGTTCAATCATGGCTAGGGCTGGGTGTGGTGATGCACGCCTGTAATCCCAGCACTCAGGAGCCTGAGGCAGAAGGGTTGCCATGAGTTCGAGGTCAGCCTGTGCTACATAGCAAGACCCTGTCTCCAAAAAAAAAAAAAAAAAACAAATCAAAAAACAAATAATAAAAAAAAAAGCCCCATACCTTGGATTGGTATGTGGGAGTTTAGAAAACTATACTTATATTATTATGTTTTAAAATAAGGAACCTCCTGAGAAAGATATGATGCTAGGGTATTTGTCAGAGGCCTTATGTAAATACTGCTTATGTGGACCTCAGAGTGTGCATAAGAGACGTACACTTGGAAATCAAGCTGCAAAGTTTAGGAATAGACTAGAGACGAGACTGTCAGTGTTCTTCCTTCCTTCCTTCCTTCCTTCCTTCCTTCCTTCCTTCTTCTTATTATTTGAGACAGGGTCTTGCTGTGTAATTCAAGCTGGCCTTGAACTCACTGTATAACCCAGGCTGGCCTTGAACTCAGGGCAGTCTTCCTGCTTCAGCCTCCCTACTGCCATGCACCAACACTCCTGGTCCAGTGCTGTTCTTCAGAAACCTTGGTTCTTGCACATGAGGCTGCTAGCATGGTACAAAATGGGTCATACAGGAAGCAGGAATGCGGATGGGAGACCATTATGTTTGTTTCAGTAAGAGCTATGAGTTGGAAGCAAGACAGAACGAGGAATCTAAAATAAAGGCACAGCTGAGGCACAATAGATAAGACTGGCGGAAGCTTGTGTGACTGAGTCCAGCACAGAGGATGGCAGAGTGATTACGAGGAGAACGAGGAGAGTTCCAGCTGCGCCAAACTGGGACCTGAGGGACCTGCACCAGCGGGAACCTTACCAAGCAGGAATCACGTGGGGCAGGAGCAGGTTTGGGGTAAGATGAGGTGACTCAGAGGGAGTGCTGCCTGGATGGATGCGAGCAGAGGCACATTTCTCAGCTACTGGATGCAGAATTTTAAACATGGAAGCATTAGTTTTTTTGAGGAATAATATAGAAAGAAAGGGTAGCATCTTTTTGCTTTTGTTTTTCTTAGCCTGGAGCACAGTAGGCAAATGTTCTACAACTGAGTTATGTCACCAACCCATTTTTGGATGCTTAAAGGCCATTGAAGGTCCTGATTGAATGGTTTGGAGGCTGGATACAGAAATTCACTTTTATGATTTTTAAGTTTTTCCCTGAGCTCAGGAAAAAGCAGAAGGAGTAATTAGAATACATGGCCTCGTGCTTTCAGTGCTCATGTGGGGACTGAGGTGGATGCAGACACAGCGTCCTGTTTTCATGGGCCCGTTTGTTGGGTGGCCCTCAGCAGCAGCATGCTGCTCAGTTTTTGTGTTTTTGATCCTAGTTTGTAAAGACACAAAAAAGAACCTCCAGCACTGCTCCGCAAAATGGCAAGAACTAGGGGGGTAAGAGTGTCCAAAGCCAGAGGGAATATTTTTGGGGGATTCATGGCAGTGTGTGTTTTACTGTAGTAATTTAAACAAATACTTATTGTCACTATACTTACAACACTGTATTGTTGTATTTTCTTGTACATTTCCTATTCATGACTTTACACTTCTCTGATCTAAGAGCATTTTCCATGTGGCCCAAGAGAAAACAGAAAAATGATTCTCCAGGTGGAGATAACAGTCCTGTTAATGAGTAGGGATCACATGACAGCTGTCATTGACCTCTTTCTTTCAGAGACACAAGGGTATGCAGAGGTGGTGAGTTTGGCAGTTTGGGTTTGGCTTCGTCACTTGGTCTTCCCGGGACCCACATGCAGGCATTCCACTCGGGGGCCTTCTCAGGGTCCTTGTTCTCGGAGGGCGCAGTCTCCCTCCAGGCCCAGGGGGAGTGGTTCCCGTCAATCGTTCTTTTCCTGAGGGACTTTTCTTGGAAAGGCGTCCCGAGAGCCAGCGTTGTACACATCCCTGCTGGCTGCTCGTCGTGTCAGGAAGCGGATGAGACGCTGCACTGTGTTAGTCGCTTTATGCAACTGGGCAGACAGGTTAGAAAAAGTGGTAAGAATGTGTAAGATGATGTTGATGATTTGACAAGAAAAAAGCCATTCTCAGGAAAAAGTCCTCTTAGATGAACCACAGGTGTCTTTACCATGATCTCTTGATAGGCATGAGACATTTTAGCATGTATCAGCTGTCTTTGGCTTAACGTTCAGCTGCATGGCTCAAACTGTCATTTATGAAGCTCATATTTATTCATATAGGCTGGATCTTTTGGTCCAGACCACTGCCGCAGGTGTTCTGTCAGTTGGCAGGTCTCCTAGTGTAGTGTCTTAGCTACTTTTTACTCATCGCTGAGACAAACTACTTCAGGGCCAAAGTTGAGAAAGGAAAAGTTTATTTCTTACAATTTTTGGAGGTTTCAGTCCATACTCAGTTGGCCCCAAAGCATGGCGGGGCCACAGTTCTTGGTGGCTGCAAACAGCAAGGCAGAAACCGGCAAGAGAGCAAGACACACCTTCTTCCTGCCATTACATTACGTCCTGGCTCTACCCCCCAGGTGGGTGTAGCACTAACATCATCAATCCAAGCTCTGGACAATGAACCACTCACAAATGCACAGTGCAAACACATGAGGCCTGGGGCCACAGACATAAACCATGACATTGGTGGCTGGTTTACCATGACCTCTGCTGGGACTCCGGGCATCTCTATTCATGTGGGCTCTTGTCTTCCCACAGGGCACTCTGAATTTTGTTCCATGGGGGCAGAGAGCAGCAAGAGGGAGCAAGCCCAGAGCACAGATGTCTTTCACTCTCTACTTATATCACATTTGCTCATTTCCTGCTGGCCAAAGCAAGTCACCCTGATGCACCAGTCCTGGAGAGGACACTCAAAGCTACAGGGTGAAGGGGCAGAGACACAGGGAGATGAGGGGCTCATAGCTGTGTATGCAGTGTGAGCACAGCACAAGGGATTGTAGCCTTGAACCTGTTAAGGGTCAGATTTTCAGAGAATAATTTTACAGAACTGCACAGGTGGCACTTGCCTGTAATCCCAGTACTTGGGAGGCTGAGGCAGGAGTATCACTGTGAGTTCAAGACCACCCTGGGCTGCAAAGTGAGTTGAAGGCCAGCCTGAACTGCAAAGACAGATCCTGTCTCAAAAAAGAACCCCTTACAAAAAGAAAATTATAGTTGTGTGGTTACCCCAGAAGAATGCAATCCATTTAATCCTCAAAACCTAGAAATCTGAAGCTGGCAGACAATAAGAAATAAGTTATTTTTTTCTACATCATGTTTAAAAGCTTTTTTGTTTTTTCATTTTGAGCCAACAGTTAAAATCAAGACATTTTGTATAAAATCTGAGCTTCTGGTTTTTGAAAAAAAGATGACTGGCAAGAATCATCAAGAGCCCGGTGATACTTATCTGTCACCTGGAGCCTGTGCGTTGCAGTCTGCCGTGCTTCTAACCTTGTCTTTCTGTCGCCTCAGTCCTGAAGCCAAGTGTCATGTGCCACTTGTCAGAGAAACTGCACTGCGGATTTTCTTATAGAGGAGAAACTTCTGTTACTATTTCTAACAAAAGAGGAGTAGTGAAAAGGTTACACAGAGTGCCATATGGTCCAAGAAACATGAAGGAAAGTGTATTGCTTGGAGTTAGGAGAGAATCTTACGTGTTACATATGCGATCTGAATTTTGCTGTACAAACAACTTTTTTCCCTCTTAAAAGTGGCTGACTAGCTGGGCGTGGTGGCGCATGTCTGTATCCTAGCACGCAGGAGAGTGAAGCAGGAGGATCGCTGTGAGTCCGAGGCCAGCCTGAACTACACTGTGAGACCCTGTCTCAAAAGGAACTCAAACAAACAAAGTTGCAGAATCACAAATCCCACAGCGCCTTGAAGTTTTTTCCCTGTGAGGAACCCAGAGAACCAGTTTGTTCTTCCCTGTGGGCATCTGAATTCTTCAAGTGTCTTCCTCTTTATAAGGGTATAGGGTCAACTTTGTAATTGAAGGCCACTTAGTAATTGAACAACCTTCAGTGGCCAGATATAACACAGAATACAGAATTAGCTCAGCAGCAACTAGAAAAGCAAAAACAAAACCAAAGTTTTCTGTGTTGTGTTAGCCACTTTTTCATGCTGGGACACGATACCCCACACCTGTAACTTAAAGGAGGAGAAGTGTCTTTTTCACAATTTCAGAAATTTCAGTCTGTAATCATGTGGCTCAAGGCAGAAACAGCATGGTGGAAGGGTCTGGCGGAGGAGAGCTGCTCACGGCACGGAGGCCGGGAAGCAGAGAGGAAAGGGAGGAGCCGGGTAGGGAGATGCACCCTCCCAGGTCGCACCCCAGTGACCCATGCCTAATAGCAAGTTAGGGCCAGCAAAAGCCCACCTCCAAATACAGTGGGCTTTGAGGGCTGTCTAAATCTAAGCAGTGTGTTGAGAGGTGCCTCATTGGTGGAGTTGCCTTGTAATATTATTTCAAAGTTTCAAAATGCTAGTTTTTATGAAGAAAAAAATTACAAAATAAAGAAACGAGAGTATGACCCACACACAGAAGGAAGCCGCTCATAGCAGCTGACTGAGGAAGATGAAATGTTGGACTTAATGGACACAGACTTTAACTATTTTAAAATGTGTAAAAGAACCCAAGGAGAGTATTTCCGGAGAACAGAAGAAAAGCCTTGTGCTGTTCCATGTCGTCTTCTGCAGTAATGATACTTTTTAAAAGTTGAAAAAGCTGTTTGTGTATTGATTAGGGGTAAGTTTCAAGAGGTTCCTGTCCATAGTATCTTTTCCTCTGCCTCAGTGTTTCCAGGTTGGTTTTTGCTTCTGAGACAGGTGCTCCCTATGTAGTTGAGGCCGGCTTTGAACTCCCTATGTAGCCCACGCTGGCCTCTAACTCCCAGGGATCCTCCTGCCTCAGCCTCCTAGCCGCTGGGATTCAGTGTGCGTCACCATGCCTGGCTCATTTTTGGAGTTTAAAAAGGCAGCACAGCGTGCACAGTCTGTTTTATGTGGTCCCCCAGCACCCCATGCTTCATGCACAGTGAGTTCTGCAACAAAACAGGCTTATTCACACAAATGGAAAAATCAGGGATAAAAGTGGCCCCGCAGTAAGACTGATTTTGCTTCAAACGTAGAATGCAACCTTGTGAGTTTTGGAGGGTATGGACTTTGGGTAACAGTCTGTCAGACTGGTAAGAGGTGGAGGGAAAAACCAGGCGAGAACAGCAGTGTGCCACTGTTTCAAGTCAGTCCTCAGCCTGAGGCCAATTACTTTCTTCACACTGGCCGCCTGGGTCACTGGCTGCTGAGATGTTTTGTTTTGGTGAGACCCAGTCTTGCTATGTCGTTCAGGCCTTAAATTCGCTATGTAACCCAGGCTGGCCTCAGACTCAGGATGATCCTCCTGCCTCAGCCTTCTCCTGAGTGCTGGAATTACAGGTGTGCACCACCAGGCCTGCCAAGGCTGTCTAGATCTTAAGTCAGCTGAGCCTCACTGTGCTGTGGGACCTGGCTGCAGGCAGCTTCTGGTCCCTTTTGCTATATTAGAGCCCCGGGGGTGGCTAGGGATGGCGGGAGATTTTTTAATTATCCCGGAGCTATGTGTCCTTCAGAATTCAGTATGGTTTTCACCTTACTGTCAGGTCTTTCTTAATTCTCAAAAGTCACGGTCTTCAGTTTCTCCCACCGCAGTCGCCCTAGCACAGCCCTGCGCCCGCCCCGCTGGCCTTGTCCGTCTGAGTCTGCGTGTTGCAGACTGCGCTCTGCGTCGCTGTGGCTGGGATGAGAACACAGCTTGGGAAAGAAACCAAGTTTACCATTTCTTCCTGAAGGCTCCTAGCATGGGTCTTTTCAAGCCTACAGTAATGTCCTATGTTTCCTGAGTCACCCGCGCCCTCTCGGAGTCTGCAGCATGGGCGACACTGTTTCCTCTGGCTGTGGGGACTGCAGCACTGAGCCAGGCTGTGAATTTTGCCGTGCAGGCTCAGGAAAATAGGCTGCAAGCCTCTGGGAGAGCTGTGTGGAATGGCACAAGCTGCTTTCACTGCGGCTTTGTCTTGAAAATGGGGCTAGGCAGCAGCTCCCTGGCTTTTCTGAGAGGACTCAGTAATTAAGAGAGGATGCAGGAGGCGGCACAGCGCAGTGTCCACAATTACTTGGGCTGCGGACAGCCCCAGATTGCTTTGAGATTTGAGTTTTAATAACATCGGATGTTTGGACCATTCTGGTTTTTTGGTGTTTTTTTTTTTTTTTTTTTTTTTTTTTTTTTTGTCTTAGAGGGAGAATCAAACTTCTTATTTGTTTGGATTTCTTACAAATACAAAATCTCCATTTTCCTTTCTGTAGATATTATTAAGCCTCATTCTACCTACTGAGCTGTATTCCTTGGTGGAAAGAATGAGGTTTAATAATCTCCATAGAAAGGAAAAGGTGGAAAGGCATTGTTATGTTCAATAATCAGTGCATTTCTACATCAGATCATTATTGACTTAGATAAAATTAAGATGAAAGGTCATTGCAATAATCACATCAAGAGTTATTGGACATTTTTACTGAGGAGAGAGTTTAAGGTTGTATGTCCCAAATATTATCCTTTTTAATTTTAGGAGAAATGTGAGATTCTCAGACACGAGGATTATTATGGGGACTTTAATGATACAACATTGTCTTGCTTTTTGGAAACTAAAGTGATGCATTCTCCATATAGACAGATGAATGACGGGGCTGGGAGCCTTGTTGCCTGTCCTGCTGCATAGGGCCAGGATTAAGAAGAAATCAGGTCTTAGGCCTAGGACACACACCCCCTCCTCCCCCCAGCCTCTGAGCAACGTGCTCTAGAAGCCTCTTTTCCATCCTTTCTTTGCTCCTGGCAGAAGAGCTATAGACTTCCTTGATTGCACACTTTCAGATATTTGGTATTGATTAGAATTTCCTTACTAGTGTCCCGCCCAGGGCTTCTTTTCTGTAAAAGTGACAGCTGTTTATAAAAGACATATGGCCCATGCGATTTACTGTTCATCATCTTTAGTAGTTCTGGAGGTATAGTGGAGAAGTCAGGCCCTTCTCATTTTGCATTAAGCTTTAGGCCAGTGTCCTGCAAGTATCAGATGGTGAGAGCGAGCAGGAAACATGCTAGCAGCCTTTTTTTGGCACCAGTTAAGATAGCATAGCTTGTCTGTTAGTGAGGAGGTCTCCCACACAGGGAGCGATGAGACAAAAGGCGCCTATACAGACGCTGTTAGTTTGCATGTTCAGTAATCGGTGCAGTGACATACTGCAGAGCCTGTAAGGCTTCCCTGTGTAGATCAGTATTGCATAGGGTTAAAACAATCGGAATCTGCCTGTGTTTGAGTTATCTGTCTCCTCCCTTTGGTCAGAGCTCCATGTTCAATAACTTCAGGTCTAGATAATTCCTATTTTTTTGTATGTCATTAAGCCGGATCATTGCAGACATTTATTTGGTCTCCATTCTCGTAAGTTTTGCCTGCGTAAGTCAACGTGTTCACTAAAAAGTAGCCTCAAGAGGGCTGGGGATTTAGCTCTGCGGCATAAGGGCCTGCCTGGCAAGCACAAGGTTGTGAGTTTGATCTTTGGCCCTCCCCACCCCCCAAGTAGCCTTAAGTATCTGTATATGAGGCTGGATTAAAAGCCAGCCCCTCAAGGTCTTATGTGACTTGGTAAGATTAAGTGATTGATAAGGTTGGTACTGATGTAAATAGCACACATTGCTTTGAGATGGTGAATTCTGTGGCAAGTGAGTTATTTCTGTCTTTCAAAATGCATGGACTTTGAAACAAAAATAACATGAACAACATTCTGGAGGTTTTTGTGGAAGAACTGTAAAACATTAATTGTGGGAGAATTTGGTAAGAGGATTATTAAGAGGGCATCTCTTTCTTTTCTAGTCCTAACTTCACTGAAGAGCAGAGTTTATGAGATCCACTTGAAGACAGGAAGAGGCTTTGTAGATGTAAAGCATAACTTGCAAAATAGCTAATAGATAAGTAGGGCTTATGGATTTGTGAGAAGTCTAGACTGAGTGTATTTCTGGAAGGTGATTAGTGGCAGAGAGTAGTACATGTCTATAGCAGCCAGTTCTCTCCCGAGTGCCTTTCCAGCTCTGCTTAAAACTTGCCCATGGGTCACTGCATGCTCACACAGGCTTGGCTTTAACCCCACTTCTGCTTCTGGAACCTACAAGAAATTGCAAGATTTCAGCTGTGGAAGTCTAGATAGCAGAGTTCACAGGAAAAGCTAGGGCTCAGAGCTCCCCTAACTGCCAGGCTGTTGCCAAAGTTAGATTTAATTTGTTTATTTTCCATTTAAAACTAGTGTTGCAAACGTTAATGATTTCAAGTAATTAATGTTTTTAATTTATTAGGGGTGGTGCCAGTCTTTTAAAATAAATAGCCAGGGAGTCTATTACTTTATTCAGTCATTACTTCAGTTTTCTGGGCCAAAGTAGACACCTCTGGACTCAAAGAAATATTTAGTCACCACATCAGTTACAGATTATAAATCCTGTGTCATGAAAAGCCTCGGTAGGCATAATTTTCTTTTCTTCTTTTTAATTATCAAGAAACCTGAAGCCAGTTACTCAGCTGTATGTCAGTGTGGATGCCAGCACCAAAGATAGTCTGAAGAAAATTGACCGCCCACTCTTCAAGGATTTCTGGCAAAGATTCCTTGACAGTTTAAAGGCCTTAGCAGCAAAGGTAAGAATTATGTCTTAACAATAAATAAAAAAGAATGGAGGAGCATTTTCTCGTTTTTTTTTTTTTTTTTTTTTTTTTTTGAAATAAAGACTAAATCATTTTGTAGCTTTTTTTTTGGTCTTTTTGAGACAGGGTCTTGTTATGCAGTTCAGGCTGGCCTTGAGTTCACTTTGTAGCCCAGGCTGGTCTTGAACTTGCAACAATCCTCCTGCCTCAGCCTCCCGAATGCTGGGATTACAGGCATGAGCCACCACACCCGGCCAATTTTTTAGCTTTTTAAGACTTCCTTTACTTTATTTTTTTGAGACAAGGCCTCACCATGTAGTTCAGACGGTGCTTGAGCTCACGTGACCCTCCTGCCTTAGCCTCACAACTGCTGGGGTTACAGGTGTGTCCCATCACATTCAGCACAAGACTTCCTCCTTTCAGGAATGTGAACATTTAGTACATTTTCCAAATTCAGTGAGAATTTACTGAGGTTCCCTTAGGTTTGTGGCTCTATGCCTGCTACGTACCGTTTGCTCTTCATGCATGTAGAAAGGTGGCTGTATTCCCAGAGCTGACAGTTTCCTGTGCCTGGTGTTGAGAGGCTGTGCCTTGAACGTCTCAGGTAGCACTGGATTAACCGGATTCAGGAGTCACTGTCCCAGAAGATATCCCTTCCTGTCCTTTGTGCAGCTTGGACTGTCACGTCCCAAACCCAACCCCACCTGGCCACAGTGTTGGTCAGCCGACTTGGTGTCTTCAGCAGTCCAGGGTTACTGCTTCCGCTTCCGCTTCCGCTTCCACGGCCTCCCTCTCTCCTTGTTCGTTGTGCGCTTGCGCTTTTCTTCAGTGTCTTTGGGAGCCCTCTGGTGGGATCCTGCAAGGCCTTTCCATTTCGTTCTTTCACTGTGGAGATCTTGTGCACCCTCCTCGTTATCTCCACGTACAGACTGTTTCAGCTGCAGTTACCTGTGTATCTGTCGTTCTGAGTTTAACATCTGTAAAGACTTTTCCTCCTCTGTTTATCCTTGGTGCACTCTTCCAAATTGGATCCTTTGTGCATGCCTGAGTTCTGTAGCACAGCACAGCACATTTTATGACTTCAATAAAAAAATGCTTTTAAAAGAATGAAAGAATAGAAGCTTGGTAGAGTTAATAGTGTGTTGTATGTATTTTTCTGGCTTCAGGTATTTAATTTTTTTAATACTCTTTTAGGCCTGAGAAGTTAAATTGAGGCCTTTTTAAATTATTGACACTGATATTGTTTACAAAAATCTGGAAAGACAGTACTTTAATTTCTAAGCCATCTTGGATTATTTGCAAAGCTAGAGGGCACAGTGCTTGTTGGGCTCCTAAAGAGGCCCTGTCTTTGGGCTTTGCCTTCAGCTGTATCCTCTTCACTGGCACCTGCACAGGAGACACAGATGTTGGAATCAGGGTGTGTTTAGTGGCAGCTCAGCACTAGGAGCTCGCACACACTGCAGCACATCTGAGATTGTCGTCCTGGGTGGGTTTGAGTCGGAGTGTGGTCGATACCAAGAAAGCATCCGCAGAATTGCTTCATAGCTTACTTTTCTCTTTGGCTGACATTTTCCACAAAAGGACTTCTCACCTTTGGATGAGCCTGTGGAAGTCCAGTTGTGACGACTCTGGTTTGTTTCTTTGGTGGTAATGCAGTGATAGCAAGTTCTCCAGTATTTTCTAACACAGAAGCATTTTAAACAGAACATCACTGTGGCCTCCCTGTAATTCCAGGTGGAAAGGTTGCCTTAGGCCATTTAAACTACTTGCCTACACATTAATGAAAGTTAATGCTTTTTATTCTTGTATTGCCGGTGTTGCCATTTAAGAAAGGTCTGTGGTTGGAAGCTGCTCTTTGAAGGTTTTCTTTAAATTAACTCAAGCTGTTATTTTCTTCAATAGCTGATATAGTGAGATATAGTAGATGGCATTAAGAAAAGATTGTTGGCTGGGTGTGCTGGTACACCCTGTAATCCCAGTGCTCTGGACGCCAAGGCAAGAGGTTCGCTGTGAGGTTGAGGTCAGTCTGGGCCAGCTAGTCAGTTCAGGGCCAGCCTAAACTACAGGCTGAAATCCTGTTTCCAAAAAAAACCCAAACAGACAAAGACAGGATTGTTTTACTGCCTTTAGCACTTAAAAAGTAAACATGTCAGTTGCAGCTATATTTATCAGCTGTAAAATTATTGCTAAATATGAAATCATTTGTGTTTTAAGGAGCAGGGCGACATGAGCTATCTTACCGAGAGCACCTGCTGTTATCTTCTGGTTCTCACCTGGGCATTTTAGTTTACCTGAGCAAGGAAAGCACTAGGGAGAGAATTTTTTAAATCTCATAAACAAGGAGATTTGTATCCCACCACTTTCCATCTATTCATTTAGGCTAGTGCTGTCCAAAGGAGAAGGTAAAGTACTTTGTTTTTGGGCTCTTGGCAGGTACAGTGTTTACATTCCCAATCTTTATCCTTCGTCAGAATGTTCCTATGCAATGTGAGGAGAAGAGTATATTGGTATTTGAGTGTGTGGGGCTAAAACACAATTCTGTCAAGATAATGGCAGAAAATGTGTAAGCTGCTTCTATTTCTGTCTGTGATGGCTACTTACCAGTTTTTTTTTTTTTTAAGAATAATCCCTGCGCAAGACCAGCGCTGCCCACCTCTAGCAGGAGACCTCTATCGCACTGTGACCGTATGTTTCTGCTGGCTCATAATTATGCCAAGGTCGAGATCCAGTGGGAAATTGAAGCACTTAATACTTTCTGTGTTCGACCAGTAGCACTGACATTCTTAAAACCTCACATTTAAAAGGGAAAAGACAAACATAATTACCTGCATCACACGCTTTTGGATATAAAAAACGAACATTGCCTTCTCTCTACAGATGTTAGGGTGCTCTGACCTTACCCCATTATCGCTCACTTGTTAAGGGGGGCTGAGTTGACATTAATCGGGTGGCTCTGTCCCTAATACTTGAACAGACTGGTACTTACTACAAAGCAAGTATTTAATATTTGACCTTAGCTCTGATTATAAAAATATTATATGTGGATTATGAAAATGTTAGAAAGTAAAGAGAAACATGAATAAGGACAGAAATTAGCTATAATTCTAGCCTCGAGGTGGTAACTGTTGACATTCGAAGTACTCATGTGCAGTCCTCCTTTTGGGATTAGAGAAAGTACTCTTTTGCATTCATGGTTCATTTTTTTGTGTTGGTTTTTTTGTTGTTGTTTAGCATCGTGCCAAATGCATTGTCCCATGCTGTTAAGTCTCTGCGTGATACTCATTTTTAAGACAATGTCATCTTCCATCTTCCTGGTTTCCTGCTTTGGGCCGGTAGCAGGGAGCAGCAGGAGTGTTCCTGTCCTCATCTCGGAGCCTGACGGTCACCTGTGCTGACCCCTTGGGAGGGAGTCCCAGCGCCTCTGCTCTTCTCAGTTGCATTGTGGACACTTGGTTGCATGTCAGCATTGGTAAATCGGATGCAGCCCGAGATGCACGACCCCTTTCTTCACTGCTGGCACTGCTGCTTTCATAATGGAGAGACGGGAGAGATGTGGGAAACGTGGTGCAGGAGGCAGTGACGTGTGGGGGCCTCTGTGTACCCAGTGGCCAGTAGGGCACCAGCACCTTCTTCCTTGCTTCATTTCAGGCCGAGCCCTTCTGTTTCCCTTGTCCCTGGCTCCCCTGCTTATTGGCCTTTTTGGCTTATTTCCCATCATTCGTGCCAAAGTCTGTTCTCAGCCCATAGCCTGCCTTGGTGGTCTGGATAGCTGCGATATGTATTAGACATACTAATTTTACAAAATACTTGATTATATTGTAGCATTTTCTTAGATACACATAATAAGGTATCTGTTCTCCCAGTAGCCCCCATTTCCTTCCTCTTGTCTAACAGTTTCCTTTGTACTTTTATGTCATCTTTTTTTTTTTTTTTTAAGGTTTCCTATATAAGGAAAACAACACTTACTTTTCTGAGTCTGGCTTAGCTCCACAATCTCCAATTACATTCATTTTCCTCCAAATGACATAATTTTATTCTTTTTATGGCTGCATAATACTCTATTACGTATACATACCACATTTTCTTTATTCATCCATTGATCAGCATTGAGGCTGGCTCAATACCTGGCTACTGTGAATTGTGTGGCAGTAAACATGGAGTCCATAGGTGTCTTCTATAGCGTGCTGACCTTAGTTATTTGAGCTATATACTGAGGGGTGGTATAGCAGTCTTACGGTGTATTATGTGTGTTGATTTGTGTATGCTCAACCATTCTTGCATCCCTGAAGTGAAACCAATGTGATGATGGTGTATGATCTTTTCAGTGTATTGTTGAATTTGCTTTGAAAGTTTTTATGAAGGGCTTCATTAAGGGCTTCATCAGGATGTTGGTCTGCAGGGCTTTTGATAATAAACAACCATTGCAGCATGCATGCCATAGGTTCGCCACTGCTCTCTGTCGTTTTTTCTTTTTGCTGTCTGGATACTGGTCTTGTAGAATGAGTATGAAAGTGTCCTTCCATTTTATTTCATGAACAGTTTGAGGAGCTTTGATGTTCTTTTTTAAAGGTCTGATAAAGTTCAGTGGTAAATTCATCTGGTCCGGGGTTGTTTCTTTTTTTTTTTTTTTGTCTTTTTCATTTTTATCGGTACTGGGGACCGAACTCACGACTGCCTGCTTGCAAGGCAGGTGCTTATGCCGCTGAGCTAAATCCCCAGCCCCTCCGGGGTTGTTTCTTATTCTCGCCTTTATTAAGCCTTACTTTGGCCTTATACCTTCATGTCACCTGTGGGACCCTTTTCTCTAGGTGCAGATCTCGTGAGGCTGTCAGAGTCACCAGCTTGAGTTCCATGCCATTTTACCTGTTCTTTTGGCTAATGTGATATTCTGGTTTTAGCTATTTCTGGAATCAGAAGACTCTTACGCTTCAGCTTTCCAGCAGTGGCACCCAAAGCTAGTATCTGCAAGCTGGTTGTTTCCCTCTAGTCCCAGG